TTACAAGCGTGAAGGGCAAGTTGGGGGCTTTGGAGCGATGGACCGTATGGCGGTGAAGCTTGAGCAAGACTTGGCACCGATGGACGAAGGCAACGGTCAAAAGCAAGTGAAGTCAAGATCGATGAACCAATATGATCACGTGATGATATGAAGTGGATCATATCATTGTTGATCGTGTTAGTGCATGTGTTGCATCGACATTAGAGGAGATGGAATGGAATGCGCAAGGCAAAGGTATGACCTAGGGCATTTCATTTCACCGGTCATAGGTGTGTAGAGAAGTTGATGATTGTATTTAGGATAGATGGCCGTACTATCAAGAGGGGCAAACTTGTTTGCATATCGGTCATCTAGTGCCACCCGAGTGATCTAATTTTGCATCGTTGCTAGGATCGAGTGGCGTGACAAGATGAGTGGCTAATCCTTTGAAAAATGTTTGTGAAAAGCTAACAGACATGCACATGGTGGTGTACACTTAGTGGTGTTGGCATATTTGTAAAGGAGACGAAGTTGGAGTTGAAATGGATCAACTCGGTGAAGAAACGGAGGTGAGAAGGTGTCACTGTGAGTGACCGGACGTTGGCCTCGTCAGGAGCGATGCATTCGGTCAGTGGCGGCAGTGAATGTGTAGGCGTCGGTCTTTGACCGAACGCTGTTTGAAACTTCACCGGTGGAGTGTTCGCCCGTAGAGTGTACCGGACGCTGGTCACGTGGTGACCGGACGCTGGGGTCCTACGTCTGGTCAGTGGCGCGCAGTGAAGGCCGTCCTCGGTCTCTTGACCGGACGTAGGCGATCGGACTCTGGCTGAATACTGTTTAGCGTCCGGTCGTGCTAATGTGGCAGCGCACAGAGGAGACGGTGTGTGACCGGACGCTGGGTGAGTCCGATCGGGCGTGACCGCACGCGTTCGGTCGCGATTGGAACCATACTGGAAATGATCGGACGCTGGGGTCTTGCATCCGGTCACTTTGAGCAGCGTGTCCGGTCACTACTTAAATGTACTGAGGACCGTTGAGATCGGGCGATCAACTTTTGAAGCCAGGGATGATGTGGTAGCCATTCGTTGACCGGACGCTGGCAGGGTGCGTTCGATCAATATGATCGGAGCGTCCAATCATCCCGAGTCTTGTCCAGTGAAGGGGTAACAGCTAGTTTATCCTGTGAGGCTATAAATAGAAGGGGGTCTCAGCCATGGCTGGTGCGGAGCTCCTTGGGGGACTTTGTGTCAATGCTTGAGAGTGCTTAGGAGCCTTCTATCTCACATATGCTTGATAGTGATCATCTGATTGTGTGAGAGAGCGATTCTAGTGCGATTGCATCATAAGGTTGCATCAACTAGCACTAGGTGATCAAGTTGCAAACCGGTGGTGCTTGTTACTCTTGGAGGTTGCTACCTCCTAGACGGCTTGGTGGTGGTCTCCGTTGAAGCCCGCAAGAAGCTTGTGCGATGCTCCGGAGAAGAGCTTTGTGAGGGGCATTGTGCTCGTCCCGCGGGAGCTGCGAAGAGCAACTCTAGTTGAGCGTGTCATTGAGCTACCCTCACTTTCGGGGTAGATTCTTATGGTGTCTGACGTGCGGGCTTGGCGGGTGATGCCAATTAGCCGTCGAACCACCAAGTGAGAGGTCGACACAACGGGGACGTAGCTTGGTGGCAATCAAGTGAACCTCGAGAAAAAATCACCGTGTCAACATAAGATTGTATTACTTTCATATACATTGTGTTTGTGTAGTTGCTCTTGTAATTAGTTAGCTTGTGTAGCTTGCTAGTTACCTTCTTGCTTGTGTAGCATAGAAGTAGCTCCCTTGCGTGGTTAATTTGGTTTGTGTAACCTTATTAGTCACATTGCTTAGTTTGTGTAGCTAAGTATTTACACCCTCTAATTTGGCATTGGTTGCCTTGTTATTGAGCATAGCTAGTGAGCTTAGGAGCTTTGTGCTTTTGCTTACTAGAATTGTGTAGAAGCTCCCCGGTTGGCAAAGTACTAGTTGCATAAGTTTGTGTGACCTTGCTTTTAGAATTGATTAGGTGAGCTCTAGTTATCCCGGCACCTTAATTGCTTAATTAGGATCTTTGTACGGTGCTAGAGAACATAAATAGAGGGGTGTAGTCTTGGCTCGACCGATAGTTTTAATTCCGCATTTGTTTCGGTTAGCCGACGCGATTAAGTTTTAGAAAGGACTATTCACCCCCCTCTAGTCCGCTATCTCGACCTTTCAACTGTACCCGCCCTATGGCCGGGGGCAGCAGGGGCATACGGGCAGCACAGCTGCCGGCCCGCTACCATCCTCCTCCTACACTGTGACCTAGCGCTAGATCTCGCCGTGCAACGCTTTGCCCGCCCACCTGCCGGGTTTTGCTGAAAGCGCATGCATGTTACAAGTGTATGCTTCAAGTGTTTCAGATGTTCCAAAGGTATGTTGCAAGTGTGTTTATATGGATGTTGCAAAAGTAGATCAGGATGTTGCATACGTTGCAATGGCTATACACATATGTTGCAAGCGTCTGTTTCAAATGTTTCATCTGTTTTCAGACATATGTTGTAAGTGTTTTATCTGGATGTTGCATATGTTTCATACATACTTGCAAGTGTTTTATCTGAATGTTGAATATGTTTTGCAATGGCTTTTAAGTGTTTTTGTGTATTTTGCAAGTGTTTCAGACGTATATTGCAAGTGTGTTTAGCTGTTTCACACATATACTGCAATTGCAAGTGTTTCATCTAGATATTGTAAAAGTAGATCTGGCATTGCACATGTTGCCGTAGGACCCACATGCCGCAGTAGCCGACTACTGCAGTTGCTGGTGCGCCATTGTGCATGCGTGTGGGAAGCGGAGGGGGCGTGAGTGGTTCCTGCGTGTGGTCTGGCGGTGCAGGCGACGTCTTGGTGATGCAGGCCCCGCGTGAGCGCGCGAACGCAACATGGCGGATTATAGGCGCGGGCTTTCGAACGCCCGGGTGCCAGCACTACCGCTTTGCTTATGCCGACTCAGTATGTCAAATCGTAGAAGCTGGCTAAAATTTAGCAGTTGCTGAAGGAGAGTGAGACGGTACACGTGTGAAATAGAGAGTTGATTTCTCTAAGTCATCCATGTTGTTTTGAGATTTATGACAGGTGGATATCCTATTCGCTTGTGAGCCTGGCTTATTAGCCACGATATAACATTTTTTCTCTCAAAAACAAATCAGCGAAAAATATTTTCAGCCTGGTTTTTCAGCTAAACGAACACAGCCGTAGTTAGTTAGTACGTACTTAAGTGGAGAAATATTACATCAAGAATCGTGCTGTAGAGAGAGGGAGATAGATCAATGGTCAGTACGGTCACACGCCGAGGCCTTTCAGCTTGAAGCAGGTCGAGGAGTCGAGGTCCTCTCCCTCCCTCCGTTCTTCGTTTCAGACTTTCAGTTGAGGCCGAGGCGCTGGTCCAGAAACATCACCGCGAGCAGCTCGTCCCCCATCTCGCATGCGTGGCATTACCGCCTGAGGCCCTGACGCCCTCCGCACACAAGCGAGTGCGAGGCGAAACCCTAGCCGGCAGCCGTGGCGGCGCAGCCAAATCGCCGACAAGGCAGATGACAAGCGGGCGGCAGCGCGGCAAAATCGAGAAAGGAGGTGGCGGCGTCACGGCCAGCTCTCCTGGCTCCTGCACGCGCGCGCGCGGCCAAATCGAGGAGAGGGGGGCGCCCGACGGCGCAGCCACGGGGCAAATCGAATAAGGAGGTGGCCGCCTGGGCGGTGGCGCAGCTAGTATCTACTGTGCTGGATGCACGTAAGTGGGGGCGGCCAGCTGCAAACGTGGCCAGCGGGCATGCGACCAACTCGGCAAGTCCTGTAGGCTGTAGCCTGCACAGTCCTACAGAGAAGCAGGTGCTCCTTCCTTGTTTGTTTTCCTTCAGCTCTCTTTTAATTTGTCTTCAGATGACTGAATTTCTGACGTGAATGCTCTCTGCCTGAACTTCTTGTGAAGTTATTGTTTGGCCAATGCCTTTGCTCACCTATATATAGTAGATCTCTATCATTCTGCTAGTTGCTAGGATGTACAACGATAAATTAGCTCAAATTTGAGTAGCTCATCCATACTAATGCTTTATGATCTTGTTTCGTGTGGGAGACATGCTGTGAGATCTAAGCTAGTGGAATATACAACTTCGACATTTTCTTTGTTTTGCTTGTCAAAACTAGATGCATATCCTATTTCAGTTCTTATTGTACCAATGACATCGTTGATGTTCATACTTGGCTTGTGCAGGAGAATTGTAAGATGCAGTGCAAGTGATGAAATTAACTGAGTATTGTAAGATGCAGTGCAAGTGATGAAATTAACTGAGTGTTACAAAATAAGGTATTCCTGTTAACTGAACTAGTCCATCAATCCATTTCACTGGAGCCACGGGACCACGATCCTGAGCACACCTTACACCATTTCACTAAATTTATCACAACCAGATAGAGATTATACTATACTTAAATGGGTATTGTGTTAGGAAATAAACAGACAGAAGAAGTAAAGATAATATTTTAAGCAATGCTAGAGCACAGGATTGATGAGCTATTACTGTATAATATAGCACAACGGTACATTAATAAGATGTCAAATGTGTGCACAAACATTGCACTTATTACACAAAACTATCTATGTAGCCTGATGGTTGATACAGACAATAAACATAGGCACTCGGTGTAAATCTGTGAGCATAGGCACAGCCATTATGCTCAACCACAAACACAAGGCACTCAGTTCAAACATGTGCAGCACACAAACGTGCATGCAGGCGCAGCAGACAGAAACTAATAGACAAGCAGAGCAAAGGCAAATAGGAATTAATCGACACAAACCACACCATGGGATCAAAGGAGAGGCTTCTCCAGAATCAAGCTTGTTTCTAGCAGCAGAATAGTGAGAACCTTGCAGCGTCGTCGCTGTCCTCTTGTTCATCTCCTTTTGCTTAGTCTTCCTTTTCTGGTCCATTAAGTTTAAACTAGGATTGTTCTTATGTTTTTAAATGGCCTTCCTCACCTCATCAGGGACTTGTGCACTGTTGAACTCGAGCTCCTTCAATCTGGGAAGTTCGTCGATGCCGGAGAGACATGTGCTAGAGGACCAGACAACCTTCTCGAGCCTAGGAGCAGATCCGCTGGTGAAGACGATGTTGGTGATGGCTGTGCAGTTAACAACAAGAAGGTTGAGCCATAAGAACTCATCTTTTTTAAATATAATCTTGTTCTGTCTTCCACCAAAAGACTTGTCCAAGAGCACAAGACAGCGTATATTTGGATTCTTGGTGAGGATTTGTAGAGCATCAGGCCCTATTTCTGTACCACGAAGAGTCAACTTGGCTATTTGTGCGGCATTGTCAAATGATGATAGCAACCTGCCACAGAAGCTGTTGCTCAACTCAAGCTCTTCCAATTTTGGAAGCCGGTCAAGTCCAGAAATAGAACCTGCGCTGGTGAAAGACAGAACCATCTTCTCAAGTTCACAGGCTGATCCTTCCTCAAAAGTGATTTTAGTCAAGTCCGAGCCCTCAACGAGAAGATACTTAAGACATATGAATTCTTCCTTCTTGAAGGTGAGCATGAGCTTGTGCTCGGTGTCGGTGCATGTAATGTCTTGGAGCCTGACACACCGTAACATTGGCAGCTTCGCAAGGACGACTTCCAGATCATCTTGGCTCACCCGGGTGCCACTTAGAGTTACCTTGGCAAATTTGTTGTCACAACCATTTACGAACAATGGAAGAAGACGCCCCTTGTGCATGGTTCCCCTGATGCTTAGACTAAGAATCTTGGGGTTGTTTTTTAAGAGAGAGCCAATGTTATGAGGTAACTCATGTACCCGCCTTGCATGGTGTGGGTGTGGCTACAGGATTAGTAGTGATTGACAGAGAACGGAGGCACTCATGTAGGTCACTGACCGTCTGAAGCAAATTCTTGAGGTGACTATCCTTATCGTCGATGACCACACCTAGCTTCCTCAGCTGCCATAGCTTTCCAATATCTTTTAAGTCATGACTGCGCTGGGCCTTGACATTAGATAGTACCTCCATGTTTACAATTTTGTCGATCCCGTGAGGAATCCGGCCACTAGAGCCAAAATCGCTTGGATTATTATTCAGATCGATGTGACCAGCAAGCAGACGCTTCAGCTTCAAGAGCAGGATATTTGCTGTTGCATGTGGAGGCACCTTAGTTTGTCGGATATCCAATACCTCCAGCTCACGCAGATTGTTGATTTTACTGGGCAGCTGAGTAACAACTGTTCCTCTTAGGCTAAGATACTTGAGCAATAACATCTTGCTACAGATGTCCTCGAGGTAGCGTTGGTTCTTCCCACCAAAGCACTTACAACCTTCTAGATCTAGCACCTTGAGCAGACGTGTCTCCACTCGAGATGATTTAGAGAGCCTCTGGAAGAATCCATCAATTTTGTCAGAGCTGCGGAGTTGCAGATCATTGAAAATGGAGAAGTGGCGAGCCAAGTGATGTGACAGACGTGTCTCCAAAATATGTTGTTTTCTGGCCATCTTGGTAATGAATCCATGGACTAGATCACTTACCACGCAGCTCTTGACCTTTCCTGCAACACCAGTTTCAGCAGGATCAACAAGGCACCGTCTGATGAGCTCATCAAAACATCGGTTGGCCTGGCGCACAGAACTGGGCCAATCTTCCTTGCATATCAGGCCTTCTGCTCCCCACCGTCCAATCAAGGTTGACCGCCTGATCTTGTATCCTGGAGGGAAAGCTTGGTACAGCAAGCAGGACTTGTATTCTTTAGGTATATCGGTGTAAGAGAACATGAACATCTTCTTAGCAATGATATCTGATGATGATTTTGGTGAAGCCTGTAATAAGTTCTTATGCAGCTTGTTTAACTCCTCATTGCTCCTCTTGGGATTAACGTACAAAGCATGAGTAAAGATCTTCATGCAATTCCTACCAGCCTAATATATCATCCAAACTTCATCAAGAGGCACCAGTCTAGGTTAACAACTAACAAGTAATGCATAGAACTACAAAGTATCTACGTATTAGCTATATACTAATCTTCAGGATCTTTATATTGTACCCAAACAGACAGTTTTAGGTCCCGTAGTTGTCGTGGAGGCACAACGGTCATATGACATAAAAAAATAGTATCTATAATTAGGTGGTATAATAACAGGAAATTTACACCACTGCTGGATTCAGAAACATAGGTGCAGATGTTGGTTCTCAATCACTCTCCCGTCACAAAATGAAAATGGTAAGCCTACTCCAGTACAAGACCACGGCGAGATCTCTAGGCCATGGTCCTTCAATTGGCATCTGATCTAGTTCAAACTGAAATTTGTAAACAGAAAAATCTACCATGTACCAAGTACTACTAATCATGGAGTGGCTTCAAGCCTTCAACCCAAAAACTGAGGCTCATTAACAGCACCTTATTAGTTAGTTACTCCGTTTAAACACCGGAATCAGATCTCAGATCAAAGACTAATTTGAAATGCACTGCAATACGACACCAAACAATACGGGAGGATTTTAACAGGCTATGCAACATGTTACACCACCTAACATAAATTCATACTCTAAACTCCAAACGAAGACTCGTCTCACACAACTGACAAATTGAGCAGAAGCATTCATCACCAAACCTTACATTTTGTCAGAGATAACGCCAGAAATGGCACCGGGGAATAGCGCAGCTGCAGTGGTAGACCCACACCGCACGAACTCATCCTCCCCGAACACGGAATGGATTCCTTCAACCACTGCAGTGGTAGAGGCACGGCGGCTCGACAAAGGCAGGAGATCGGAGGGGCGCGCTAGCTACTCACCGGACGCGAGGGGGAAGAGGATGAGGAAGGCGCGGCGGAACCGGAGGAAGGGCGCGGTGCCCACATCGAAGGGGGAAGAGGACCCGGTGGCGTGCGCCTGCTCTTCTTCTTCCTCGCCTTCGGCGACATGGGCCTGCTCCTTTCCTCTTTCTTCGGCTTCCGGCAATCTTTGGCCTAGATGCCTAGTGGCCCTTGATGCTGCAGTTCAGGCATTTGTCGTTTGTCCTCTCCTGGGATTTTCCGGCCGGAGCACTCACGACTCTTGTCATCACAGCCACCTCCGCCTCCGCCGCCGCGCCGGGTCTTACCGCGCTTCTTGTTGGCGCTGCCGGAGGAGTTGCCGTAGCTTTCTCCACTCTCGCGAAGTTTGAGCTGGGCCATCCACTCCTCCTCCGTGAGGAGCAGACGGCCTTGCTTGTCGACGGTTGAAGATGATGTCGCTGCCGGTTTCTTCTTCCGCTGCTCGATGGCTCGTAGGCGCCCGGTCACCACCTCGATGGAGAGGTTTTCGTGTTGACGTCGAGCAGCGTCTCGATCGAGTAAGCGATCTGTTCCGGTGTTCAGGGACTACCTGGAGGTGGAGCATCTTCTTGACGACGTCCGCGTCGTCCATGTCGATGCCGACGATGCGGATGATGTTGTTGGTGAGGCCGGTGATCCAGAGGGAGAAGTCGTTGACGTTCGATGCCAACGCACACGCTCTTCAATTCTTCACCGCCTCCAAAGCCGAACGCGCGGTGCGCTTGCGACTTGCGAGAGAGTGAGGAGTGCATCTCTGGGGAACCGAGTGCAGGATGGCGGCCATGGCCAGTCTGTCGTCGCGATGGCTTGCCAGATTCCAGCTGCCTCCATGTTCACTTTCATCAGCAGCGCGTCAGCATGGGGTACTGGACTAGCCCGGTCTCCTTGATGATGCGCTCGACGATGATCCCTCCGCGACGTCCGTGGCGCGGACCAGGCGATTGCTACACCCGGGCCCTGGTGGCACGGCGGCGGCGAGTGAGAGCGATTCGATCCGAGGATCGACGCTGATCGGAAGGAGTGGACGGACATCGTGTCGCACCCAGAACGCTAACCGATCTGATACCAATTGTTGGAGCTCGCCGGAAGTTTCTCACCGCCGGCGAACTATGAGAGACGCACTCAGAAAACTCGGATGAACTCAGCAGGTTTGGTGCTGTCAACTGGCAGCGTTTTTCAGTTTATCGATTGCAATATATTATAAAGGAAAATACAAAGGACCTGAATGCGCGGCACGAGCGCCACTAAGATCGTGCCATCCCACGACCGCACAAGAGCCGCGCAGGACTCGGGCCTCCGCATGAACCAGCACGCGTCAGGCTTACAACTCTGAATAAGAACTAGACTGACGAAACTGAATGCACACTGAAACTAAGACAGACTCTGAAAACCAGGATGACGGTGAACAGTTGGAGTAGATCAACACAGAACACAAACAAACACGCAGGCATAGCAGACAGAAACAAATGGACAAACAGAACAAACCGGAATTTATCCACACTACCACACACAAATCACACCATGGGATCAAACGAGAGGCTTCTCCACGTCAAGCTTGTTTCTTCCAGCAGAACAGTGAGATCCTTGCAGCATCTTCGTCGTCCTCTTGTTCGTCTCCTTTTGATTGGCCTTGGATTTCTGGTTTATTATGTTTGAGATTAGGTTCGTTTTTATGTTTTTTACGGGCTTCTTCTACCACCTTAGGGACAAGGTCACCGTTGAACTCGAGTTCCTTCAATCTTGGAAGGTTGTCGATACCATAGAGAGACGTGGATGAGGACCAAACGATTTTCTCGAGCTTAGGAGTAGATGCTTTGGTGAAGACAACCTTGGTGGCAGAGCAGTCAACAGTAAGATGTCTGAGCTTTTGGAACTCACCTTTTTTGAATTTAATCATGCTCTGGATTTGTTGATCACCTTTTTTTTGAGGAATGATTTGTTGATCACCTTGCTCATGCGTACCGACAAGTGTCAGCTTGGCCATTTGTTTGCCATTGTTAAATGATGATAGCAACGTGTCGTTGTTCTTGTTGTTGCTGCTGCTCATGCTCATTGTCAACTCGACCTCTTCCAATTTTTGAAGACCTTCAACTCCAGAAACAGACTCCATGTTAGTGAAAGACAAAACCATCTTCTCAAGCATACAGGCTGCTCCATTCCTAAAGCTAACTTTAGTGAAGGTGGATCCCTCAACAAGAAGGTACTTGAGAGATATGAATTCGTCCCGCTTGAAGATGAGTTCTCTCTTGGAGCTGGTGAATGCAATGTGGCGGAGCCTGATGAGCTGTAATTTAGGCAGTCTGGCAAGGTCCTTAAGATTGTTCTGGTTCAGTGAGGTGCTACTCAAAGTAACCTTGACAAGGTTGTTAACATCTTTGACGAACAATGGAAAAAATCCCTCCTGTGTGGTTCCGCTGATGCTCAGACTCTCAAGAAGCTTGGGTTGATGTTTGAGATTGAGTGATACTTCTGGCAACTCTTGATTTGTAGATGTGGGAAGAGTGATTGACAGAGAACAGAGGCACTCGTGCAGATCACTGATTGCTCGAAGCAAATTCTTGAGGTAACTGGACTTGTTATTAATTACCACTCCGAGCTTCCTTAGTTGCCATAGCTTTCCAATATCTTTCAAATCTCGACTGCTCTGGGCCGTTACATTAGATAGTACCTCCATATTTACCATTTTCTCAATCTTATGAGGAATCTGGACAGCAGTAGATACTGATTCCTCAGCTCTGAGGGTTGGTCTTGGACTCCGATCAGTGTTACCAGCAAGCAGACGCTTCAGCTTCAGGAGCAGGACATTTGCTGTTGCATTCATAGGCACATTGGTCTGTCGGATATCCAATACCTCCAGCTCACGGAGATTGTTGATTTTACTGGGCAGCTGAGTAACATCTGTTCCTCTTAGGCTCAGATACTTGAGCAATAACATCTTGCTACAGATGTCCTCAAGGTAGCGTTGGTTCTTCACACCAAAGCACTGACAACCTTCTAGATCTAGCACCTTGATCAGGGACACTCGAGATGATTTAGAGATCCTCTTGAAGAATCCATCAATTTTGTCAGAGCTGCGGAGTTGCAGATCATTGAAAATGGAGAAGTGGCGAGCCAAGTGACGTGACAGACGTGTCTCCACAATATGTTGTTTTCTGGCTATCTTGGTAATGAATCCATGAACTAGATCACCTACCACGCAGCTCTTGACCTTTCCTGCAGCACCAGTATCCGCAGGATCAGCAAGGCACCGGTTGATGAGCTCATCAAAACATCGGTTGGCCCAGTGCACAGAACTGGGCCAATCTTCCTTGAATATCAGGCCCTCTGCTACCCACCGTCCAATCAAAGTTGACCGCCTGATCTTGTATCCTGGAGGGAAGATAGCTAGGTACAGCAAACAGGACTTGTATTCTTTAGGCATATCGGTGTAAGAGAACTTGAACATCTTCTTAGCAATGATGTTGGATGATTTTGGTGAAGCCTGTAGTAAGTTCTTATGCAGCTTGTTTAACTCCTCATTGCTCCTCTTGGGGTTAACGTACAAAGCATGAGTGAAGATCTTCATGCAGAATTCATTTGGCTCACACTGCTCCAGGATGTTGCGAAAAATCTTGGTGTCGTAGTTCTCTTCATCCTTCTGCTGCTTAATAATCTTGAGCACTGTATCATAGTAGAGACCAGCAAGAGAATAGTCTATAGGTTCACTCTGTGGGTGGGAATATTCTTTTGCTTGCTGGATGTCCTTTGCGGTGGTTACGATCAGTACATCAGCGCTGCATGCTAACAGGCTCAAAGCATTTCTGGTATCCTCCCATCTGGGTAGATCCACCGTCTCATCGATTTTGAGGATAAAGAGGGGACACTTCTTCTTCAATTGACGTTTAATATCGTCCACGAGCCCTTTGATCTTCAGCTGCTCTTTGAATTCATGCTTGATTTTATCCATTTTCTGGTCCACTATTTCTGTGAAAATGTCTTCTGTGTTTTGAGCTGTCTCTTGTATTTTGTCATGTTTGCCTTCCTGCGGCTCAAGTAAGATCTCTTCCTTTGACTCGTCGATCATTTGTTTGATTTGATCCTCTTCTGTAGCTTGCTTAGATGCGTGTTTGTTGCTAGTGATGGTCTTCGGGAACACTTGCCGCAGGATGTGTACATACTGATCTTTATGGAGATAAATCGGGGCTATCTGCTGCTCTTCTTCTTCACTGTCGTCGTCGTCGTCCTCCTCCTCCTCCTCATCTCCTCCTCCGTGTTCTTCTTCTAATATTTCTTCCCGACCTCCTCCCCCATGCTCTTCTAATATTTCTCCTCTTCCTCCTCCACGTTCTTCTACTATGTCTCCCCCACCTCCATCTCCACCTTGTTCTTCTACTATTTCTTTTCCTCCACATTTTTCTTCTACTGTTTCTTTTCCTGCTCCTTCACAATCTTCTTCTTTTACTTCTTCGTTTTCTACTCTTCTCCCAGCCCCCCCTTCGCCACCTCCTCCTTGTTCTTCTACTATGTCTCCCCCACCTCTATCTCCACCTTCTTCTTCTGTCATTTCTTTTTCTCCACATTCTTCTTCTACTATTTCTTTTTCTGCTCCTTCACAATCTTCTTCTTGTATTGCTTCATTTTCTACTCCTCTCCCAACTCCCCCTTCGCCTCCTCCTCCTCCTTGTTCATCTTCTTCCATACGCTCCTTAAGCTTCTCGGCTATTTTGGTGACGGTTTTATCTGATACTGATAATTTAGGCATGTCTTTGTTCTTCATTTGGTCTTGTTGAGACGCAGCCGCAGATGTCTGGAACAGCATCCTAAGGAGTACATGTACGTCTGGGTCCTGCTGATCCATTGCCTTCTTCTTTTGTTGTCCCTTCGGTGGTCGGGTTTGAATATCACTCTTGATCTTGTCAAGCTTTTCATAAACCTTCATCCTTTTTAAGTTTTCCTTGATTCTATTGAGCACCCTCTTTTTTTCACGGTAAATACCGAATTTTCTGAAGTAAACTTGCCAGGAATCTAGATCCTCCTCCTCCTCCTCGCCTTGATCTGTGCCTTGCTTTCGGGATTGGGATTCTGATTGCTCAAGCTTCAGCTGGCGCAAGATGTAGTAGAGAACCTCCTTGGGTCGTAGTGGTGAAAAGTCCGGGTGGAGCGCCGGGATGTCGACGAAGATAGCGCAATGGTAACCGCTATTGTCATCGTGCTCAAAGTCAGGACCGAAAACCATGGTCTGTGCAAGTCTGCGGGCATCCAGATCTCTATCCGGGGCGACGATGGCGATAGACATCGTCTCGCCGGCGCCTGATTGAAGTCCATCTGCCCATTCAAATAGCTTCGTCTTGACGTAGTCCTCCAGAGTGCGAGAAAACAAGGCTCTTTGGGCAGAACGATTGGTCGTCGCTAGGTGATCGTCGTCACCGTCTTCTTCTTCTTCTTCTTCATTGTCTCCTGAAGCATAGCCACCTGCGGCTGCCGACGATGACCCCGCCGACATCAGCCTAGCCGCAGGAGTCGACTGCTCCGCCGCCGCCGACTTGGACGGGACCTCCACACCATACCGGAGCCGCCGCTCACCGACGTCGCGCGCCCTGTCCTTGAGCTCACGCAGCCGGACGGCCGCGCGGTGCTGCGCCACCAACTTATGCAGGAACCAGGGAACCCACCACAGGTAGCGCCAGAGGCCGCTGTTGGCGCGGTGGATGTCGGGGTTCCTGCGGTACAGGTAGAGGTCGATGCAGTTGTTGCAGTCCTGGGCGAGCAGCCGCACCTGGTTCATCCAGGTGCGCACCTGGTCGTCGTGCTCCTCGCCGGGTGGAGCCGACCGGGCCAGGTGCGCCAGAAAGCTGTTCATGCTCTCCATCTCCTCCCTGATGAACTGCACGTCGCTCCGGACGAGGCGCAGGAGCCGTGCCTCACTGCGGATGACGCCCAGCAGTGAGGTCACGGCACCTGCCGCGATCTCCGCCATGGCTCTAATCTCAGTCTCACTCTCAGCCGGAGCAGGCCGGCCGTTGGTTTGGCAGGTGCAGGCACGCTACATCTACATGATGCATGTAACAAGTATATATCCACACCTTTCTTGTTCAGCTTAGAAAATAGAAACGTCACAAGTGATGGAGAAAACGAATGCGCAGGATATATGATGCCTCACCGAGGGTTGGAGACGCTGAACCCAACGATGAGGAGGAAGACGAACACAGCAGCAGCTATCGTCTGAGTCTCTGAGACAGCGGCAGAGAAGACTGGTTGCTGGCGGTGAAGCCCAAGCTAGCTCCCGGTTGAGAATAGGGGGAATCAGCGAATGTCTAGCGCGCTCCGTGTCTGACATCCCTATTTAACGATCGAGACTCGACCTATTCTCGTTCTGTACGTTCTATCACTTCCATTGTCGTCTTCTGTTGGATGTATGTACTCTATTAAAGAGTCAACGTTTCATCCATATTTTTTCCGTCTAGCTCCCCTAACTAACCCATCCGTTTCATTTTTACTTCCCAAACTATACTCACGTCCTCTGTCCCATGTATGAGCGGCATTCATAATCCATGTTCATACAAAGCTAGAACAACTCGCGTCTAGCAATGATCGATACGGAGTCCGATTCTAAGACGTATAAGGTCACACCCTCTATGTCTTACGTGTGGCCTGGACTCATTGACCCGTTGATAGGTTGAGAAGGCAGACTAAGGGGGTTAAATAGTCATTTCTAAAATTTAATTGCGCCGACTAACCAAAACAAATATAAAATTAAAACTATCGGTCTAGCCAAGACTACACAATCTAACTAAATTCTCAAGCACCTTACAAAGGATCCTAAATGAGCAACTAAGGTACCGGGCTAGGTAGAGCTCACCTACATAATTATAGTTTGCAAGGTCACACAAGCATAAGCAACTAGTACTCAAACAACCGGGGAGCTCCTACACGTACATATTAGTGAGCAAACCACACAAAGCCTAAGCACGCTAGCACTTCTCAACTAGCAAGGCTACACAAGTCAAACTAGAGAGCTCAACAACTTACCGACACTAACTAAGCAATGTAACTAGCAAGCTACACAAACCAACTAGTTACTCAAGAGAGCTATTATGTTTTGCTGCACAAGCAAACTAGTTATGCAAGAGCAACAAGACAAGCACAATATATGAATGAGTAAATACAAGCTTGTGTATGGGGATCGCAAACCAACATGAAGATGATGACAAGTTGACATGGCGATTTTTATCCTGATGTTCGGTGGTTTGCCAACCACTTACTCCCCGTTGAGGCATGTCCAATGTTGTCGCCGATCCTCTAACTAGTGGTGACCCATGGGTCACACTCTCCCACGTGGAGTGCTCACCATGAGCTCTAGCTTTTGATCCGGTCGGACCACTTGGCGCTCTTCGCACCACGCCCTACTGGAGTTGCTCTTCGCGATCTCCCGCATGGGCAAGCACAACACCCTCACAAATCCTTCTCCGGAGCCACGCACAACCACAACGCAGGCTTCACAACGGAGATCTCAATCTACCAAGCCGTCTAGGTGGTGACAATCACCAAGAGTAATAAGAAATTCCCAATCACAAAGATTACCTAGTGCCACCAAATGCAATCCTTGAATGCACACACTAGGGTTTTCAATCCCTCACTCAAATTAGCACCAAGCTTGAGAGGGTGAGGAAGGGGAAGAGGTGGATCTTCAATCTCTCACCCATATAAGGCACTCAATCTCTCATTAGGATTTTGCACAAAGCATGAGAGAGGAGAGGAAGAAGCCTAACTTGGATCCCCAAATGTTTTTGACCCAAGGAATAAGAATCGGGGAGAGAGGGGAAAGCGAAGGGGAAGGCACTGCCTTAACCTCCCTAGCCGGCCAGGCCTTCCCCTACATGGCCTCCCAGCACCCCGCGCACATGGCTCACTGGCCCGTGGCCACTGACCGGCCACTCACAGGCGCCCAGCTCCCAAAGGCTACCAGCTCCCAACAACTCCTAGCTTCAAAAGTGTGATCTCTCTCTAGATGTTTCAGTAGATAAGACATAAGGCTATGCAAAAGTATAATAAAAAAATATGGACTCATGAAGGTCCAAAGTAGTGAAAAAGAAGAAAAAATGTGTGAGCAAATGAAATAAAAAATGATGATGATAGTCATCTCTCAAAATAATAAGTTAGAGAGAGATCATACCAAATAGAGGAGTATCATGTTTTCCTTATACCATGTTCCACACACATGCACATCTTGATCTAAGAGTATGACACTTCTCTCCTTGGATCCAAGCTTTGGCTTTACAATACATGCAAGGTAAGTACGCTACACCTTTTATCCTACCCAAAACTCCACATATGCCATTAGAAGTAGGATAAGAAGGCAACTTAAAATATGCCTTGGTGAGGAATCGCACACCATTTGAGCGAATGAGAGTACCATATGAGGAACATTATGTTTTCTTTTGAAAAATATTGCAAAAACCTCTGATATGAAACTTGTCGGGATAACAAAAGTAGTGCTCAAGTCAAAGCTGGTCTATGTCTCAACCACCCAAGACAAGGTAAAGGCCATAAGCCCCATGGAGGACTAAGGTAATATGGGTGAGTTTTCAACATTGCTAATTTTTCCATCCCAAGAGAAATATGTTGTTGTACACATGGTACTATTGAAATGTGAAGCATAGTAGCAACTCCTGAGCCACCAAGGCTAAGTTTTAATTGTTTGCTCGAGAACGAGCAAAGGTTGAGCTTGGGGGATCTTGTTGATAGTGAAAATGTCACACTTTCATATACTCAAAATCACCATCAACAATCTCGGATCAAACAGAGATAAGCATATCATGAGCATATTTTAATAAATAACAAGTTCCACTTGTACTTGAGTATTTCTATGTAGATTTAAGCAAAATGGAGCAAAGTGAGCTGGTGGACACACATGGGAGGGTCGCCCAACCCCACCTATGGGTCCACCAGCCACTCCACGTCACCACAATCCAAGTGAAGCATGCTCAAACCAATCTTCACCCTTGGAGGAAGTTTGTGCTTTCTCTCAATTGTGGAAAATCAAAGCACATGGATTGAATGGCCCACATGTCAGCAAACCGACCTCAAGGTGGACCCACAAGCTCACATACCCTCTCATGATCAAGCTGGAGGTCCCACAAGCAAGGAGGAGGGGGTGGCCCACCTGTCGTAGGGGGTCAGCCGACCCCTTCCTAGGTCGCCCGACTCTACCACCTTGGATGCCCCAGCTCTCCACCGACTTAAGAAGGATCCTAGGGAGAGAATCTCAAGATTTGGAGCATCCTAGCCCTCCATTCTATGGTAGTTTGATCCAATGGCTCAAGATGAAGTTGACGTGGATCGCTGACGTGGCACAATTGGTGGCTCCTATTGCTTCACCTCTAGTATAAATAGAGGGGCATACCCCCCTCTCCATTCATGATTCAAGGAAGCAAAGAAGCTCAAGTTTAGTTTAGTTCCACTCTTCTTATTAGGATAGTTTAGTGTGGGAGTTAGAAGTAGAGTCGAGCTTCGCTCAGGTTCCTGAAGCTGGTCTTTTGGTCTGGTATAGATCTTGTACCTTTTCTATTCTACAAGACTTTATTACTTTATTCAATACATTATTCTTGCTCTACTTTACTTAGCATTTACTTTATGCAACTCTATACTAGTTATAATGTTGTTGTAGTTAGTTTTAGTACACATTGTAGCTCTATGATAGCTTGATGATCCTGTAACCACACTTGTACACGACCATCGCCTCTCATTAGGTGCTCTAATTGGCCTGTGTGCTCACAATTAGAGTGGTGAGAGGGTATGAGCGTGTGCTTAGACTTAATCTTGCCTTTGGTTGCCGTGGTAAATACAAGGATCTCTTATTTATTATCATTCCTAGCTGCCACTTTCCCTTTGGATAAAATAAATAACGATACCCTAGAATACTCTCGGGTGAAGTGCTGCAGCGGTATATTCTGTGCGCTTGCGGAATACTCTACTTGAGCATAAGAAATGCCAACAATGATCAAACATAGACCAATAGGGAAAAACAATGCGATCAAAAATAGAGTTCAAAATTTTCTTTTGAATTGACTTACAATTTCCCAGCGACGTGGAGTTGGCACCCAATAGAGGAGAATGAACAACATCAACAAAGCTTTTACGATCAGATCGCTTGGAAAAGACGTGATTCCAAGAACGATTTTCCTCATGCAAGTTCACAAGTTGTTGATGTCAATTTGGCCCCATTACCCTAGAGATGAAAACTAAGCTTGTAGAGATCACACTTAAAAGACCAAAGGTTGCGAATGAAGAAGCCCACCAATTTAGAAGAAATAAAGAATTTAAAGGTCCTGCCAAGGAGTTGAGAGACCTTGAAGTGATGGATAGAATCACCAGTGGTGGCGTAAATGGAGCTAACAGTGTCCGGCATCAACTTTAATTTGCAGCAACCAAAATCAGCAACTAGGGCAAAGGCGGAGGGTCCAAGCTTTGGCCAAGCGACCAAGAGGCTGAGCTCAGGCTGGAGAGAATGGTTGGCTAACTCCCTGGGAGTAGAGGGCGAAGGAGAACAAGCCTCGAAAGTGTGAGAATGACACATGCCAAGAAGGGCGCCAAACCAAGGAGGCAGAAGGAGCAAGGTGACTGACCTAGGCAGTGATGCCAATGAACATCATAGCAAGATGAATCGAGCCCTGACAGAACTCACGCACGCCAGAGAGCACAACACGTCCATGCCGGATGCCAACCTCTTCGCCATTAGGGCCATACAAAAAAGCACTAACATTTATGATATGGAATAAGTACCATGAGATTAATTATAGGATATGTTTTTATAGTAAATATATTTGAAGACATAAATGATCATACTATTTTCTATAAATTTTGTCAAATTTGGATAGTTTGACTTCGATCATAACTAGAATTTCATCATTTAGTAGTCACTTAGGTGCCTTAGTACCTTTCCTCAATCCCTTCCGCGCCACACCGACTAGCTCCCAT